TATTTGTGTTTTGAGTTCAGTTACTTTATTAGTAAAATGAGATTAATTCTTCAATATTTTCTTAGTTTCAACCAGTAATGTGTACTGCAGCCTGAAATTATTCATTATTATCCTTATCCTTGTGATTTATGTTTAAAAGAATTTATTTGCCGTGTCCTATGACATAAAATGTAGCCGTCTTTATAACAGTCGTGATTTTGTTTTTGGTACAAGACGGTACATGAGTGTTTGACACCCTATCTCATTAAATATATAGATTATCTATCTACTTTTTGTCCTTTTGAAGTAGATAAAGTATCTATCTATGTAAATCAGGACAAAAATTGCAGTGTTAACCAATTAATTCCTCGAGTAGGGACCTACCTTAAGCAGTTTCTACGAAATTCAAGTGTTTCAGACGTCATTTTGAATCAATATTTTGAAGTAATTAAAACATTTCAAATATAAATGACTTAAATTTCCGATTTAAAGTAATCAAATTAGTGTTTTGTTGGCATTTTACATAGTTGTAACACGCTCAGTAAGATATTCACCAATCCTTTCTCATATGTAAACGACATTAAGAAATAATTTGAAAAAAAAGATGAATGTCCGCCATTTTGAATCGCCATTTTGACTTTAAACTTACAGCTGCACCATCATTCAATTATAGAATAGTGAGATGCAGAGGACAAAATACAAATCTGCAGTACATTGATATTTGCAATTGTAAAATCCTAAACAAAAAAAGAATATAGAACAATAGACAACAAAATCAGAGAGAATTCGAATTAAGTGTAGAATCGACTAAATTTTCAGAGTTAAACTAATAATGTTAGCATTCCATTATCATTTTTATACTTGTATTACACTCAGTGAAGTATTCTTACACTATTTCTACTTTTTGAACGATATTAAGAGAAAATTTGAAAAAATTGATGTCCGCCATTTTGAATCGCCATTTTGACCTCTTTGATGTCATTTTCATGAAAGCCAGCATATTTTTTTCGGATTCAGCATACCCAAAATAGGTTAAAAAACTATGCTGGACCAAATAATAATTATTTGCCGTTAGAAGTATATTTTTCTACAAATCGGACCAGTATATACGCTCCATGATCATTATTTTGACAAGACATTCTATCGAGTACCAGCCGCAATGACGTTTGACCTTGAACTTATGGATTATACCCACTTTTCAAAAAGAGTTAAATTTGGCCGTACCTCCTGGATATTTATTATCAGGGGTTTACTATTTTACCGCTTTTTTGTGGTAAGAGTTTTTCTTGAAAACCAATAATACTTTACTTGGACCCCAAATTTTGACCTTCTTTTGAAAAAAATTGGTAAGAACTTTTGAATGTTTCTGTGAAATTATTTTGGGCATCATCAATATTGACTCATTGACCTTGTCAAGTTTGACCTACTTTTGAATATTTCTAACTTTGGTAATAATTACTAAATTGTTGCTTCTTTTTATTGTTAGGTCACCTGAGAAACTCAGGTGACCTATTGCTATCCGTTTTCGTCCGTCGTCGTGCGTCGTGTGTCGTGTGTTCACATTTAAACATTTTCAGCTTCTTCTCTGAAACCACAAAACCAATTTTAACCAACTTTGGTATACAGCATCTATGCGTGAAGGGGAACAAAAATTTTGAATTTTATGGTCCCCACCTTCCTGAGGTCTGAGGGGTGGAACCAAAACCTCTAAACGTAATTCAATCTTTAAAAATTTTCCTCTTTACTCCTGGACATCAAGCAGGCAAACTTTTGGCATGAATGTAATGAGCAGTGAGTCCTCTACCAAAATTATGAAATTTATAGCACAAGGGTCAGGGGTTCTAGTGCTAGGTTGGGGCTATAGAAATAATATAATGAAAATGCATTATTTCTTTGAAAATCTTCTCCACTGCTCCTGTGTATTAAATAAACTAAGAAGATAGTTATTATGAGCAAGAGTGCATCTTCCAAAGTTGTGAAGTTCATGGCCCCAGGGTCAGGGGTTCTGGTGTCAGGGTTGGGTTCTATTGATTATATAGTGAAAATGCATAAATTTTTGGAAAATATTCTTCTCTGCTTCGAGTATTAGATAAACCAACTAAGTAGATAGTTTTGATTAGAAAGAGTGCTTCTTCCAAAATTGTGAATTTTATGGCCCCAAGGTCAGGGGTTCTAGTGTTAGGGCGTGGCTCTATTGATTATATAGTGAAAATGCATTAAATCTTTGAAAGTCTTCTTCTCTGCTCCTTGGTATTAAATAAACTAACTAAGTACATAGTTTTGATTAGCAAGAGTGCCTCTTCCGAAATTGTGAATTTTACGGTTCTTGGGTCAGGGTTTCTGGTGTAAGGGCGGGGCTCTAATGATTATAGTGAAAATACATTAATTCTTGAAAAATCTTCTTCTCAGCTAGCTCCCGGGTATTAAATAAACTAACTTAGTATGTAGTTATAATGCCTCAACCAAATTTGTGATTTTTATAGCCCCTGTGTCAGGGGATTTGCCATTTGGTTTAAGGGGGGATCTTTTGATACATGTAATATAAAGAGAATACATTGATTCTTTGAAAATTGTTTCCTTTGCACCTGGGTAATATGCTGATGATTCGAGTATATATTGTTATGATGAGCCTCTTCAAAAATGGTTAATTTCATGCCTCTTGGGTCAGGGGTATCGGGGTTGGGTGGGGTGGGGGTTACATAGTCTGAAAATAAATCAATGCTTGAAATCTGCTCTTTGGTATTAATCTACAATTTATGATGAAATAAAATTTATAATAAATTTTCCAAAATTTTGAAATATGTGGCCCCACGGTCAGTGGTTCCTTTGGGGTAGGGTGTACAACTGGTTTTTAGCTCACCTAAGGCCGAAGGCTCAAGTGAGCTTTTCTGATCATATTTTGTCCCTCGTCCGTCCGTCTGTCTGTCTGTCCCTCTGTAAAATTTTCACATTTTCGATATTTCTCAAGAACCACTGGCCAATTTTGACCAAACTTGGTTCGAAGCATCCTTGGGTGAAGGGGAATTTAAATTGTTAAAATAAAGGGCCAAGTCCCCTCACAAGGGGAGATAATCAAGAAACTACAAATATAAGGTGGGGTCATTAAAAATCTTCTCAAGAACCACTGGGCCAGAAAAGCTGAAACTTATGTGGAAGCATCCTGGCGTAGTGTAGATTCTAAATTGTTCTAATCATGACCCCTGGGGTAGGGCGGGGCCACAATGGGGAATCAAAGTTTTACGATGTTGAATCAAAGCATCCTTTGGTAGTGTAGATTTCAAATTGTTTAAATTATGATCTGTTGGGTAGGGTGGGGTCACAATATGTATTACAAGGGGAAATCTGGTAAAGAACGGAATCGTCAAAGCTTCTCAGGTGAGCGATGTGGCCCATGGGCCTCTTGTTCAGTGGAAGTGCATTTTCTCTTTATTATTCTGATCTTCCTCTGGATATTAAGATTAGGCATGCTTAGTTTATAATTAGGATAAGCAATGGTGCTTCTTTCAAAATTGTAAATTTCATGGCCTCTGGTTTAAAACACGAACCAAATTCAATTGTTCGAAAGTTGTTACGTGATACTCAGGTGACCTATTAGGCCCTTGGGTCTCTTGTTTTTATTTTTAATTTTTCAAGGAGGGGGTCATTATGAGGAATTTTTTGGTACCAAAAATAATTTTCTCTTGACCTTGGTGTTTGACCTGAAAACGACATCTATCATAAGATGCAGTACGAGAGCACCTTTGTTTCAGAAATGCATCTTTGAATTTCATAATTAGCTCCCAAAAACTTTTCCTATTTATTTAAATATAAGTTGCAGTCTATAATATTTTTTGATATATGTACCATAGTCTACACATCGGAAAATATAAAAGACTTGTTTTAACACATATGATGATGATTGTGCCTTTATTTAAGCATTGAGTCTTTTTTTTTTTAAAGAGGAAGTCCATAATTGCAAACATATTGAGTAATGCGCCATATGTGCATTATGAACATTTGTTTTTACAAATCGTTGCAGATATATGAGACAACATATTTCAAAAAATAATGAATAAGTGATTATATTTTATATTTTACTTTTTCTAACTCCTTGTCTTGTTTGCAAATTTGATTTATTGTTTAGAATACTTGAATTATCTCTAACGTAAGTAACAATCAATCTAAATCTATCTCAAGAAATTATTTTTTTGTTTTTGATTTTCGCTTATGATTTTGCTCTTGCACGGCATTGAACGTTTGTGTCGTCAGAATAAAACGCATATTATACACTGTAACCTTTTTACCCCCGCTCTGTGTTGTAGTGTATTGAAATAAAATAAACCAAAAATACAGTATCGATATTAGGCTACGATGATGGTATCTTGTGCATTCAAGAGCAGAAAACTCTAACTCTTATTCTTTTTTCAAATGATTTTCTGTAGCAATAAAAGATATTGAGATACAGAAAATGTTATTTAATGTAATTTAAAATAATACTCTAGTATCTTTGCAAATCTAGTGTCATTGCGTTTCTTGCCACACGTATATCTCAAGCTATTGACATATTTATGGTATAATTAGATTTGTAGAAAGAAATATTCAGTACGTCTGAGGCCAACTATTTAGTTTATTTTCTCCATGATATAAAAAACTCACTTACATCTATTTAACAGGTTTTTGTATAGTAGATTAATGGATAAGAAATGCTCATCTATTCAAATACCGCATGGATGGAAAAAGATATATTATCTTAGACGTATTATTCTGCAAAACATGAACATCAAATATACCTATTACAAATATTATTTTTTTAAATAAATATCTTAAAATCTTTAGAAATGAGAAATGAAATTGAATGGCAGACACCACTGTAAAGCGTATTGCCCATGTGTCGGATTTAAGAGGTTTCACTGTAGTAGGTTTAACAATAAATCAATCATCATCCTAATTCTCCGTCCAGGCTTTTTTCAGTGTTTGTAAATAAAAACAAAATAGTTCTAAGTTCAAATTTATTCCAACACATATAAAGTACATCTTTTACGAAATACATTCAGTAGAAAAAAAATATAATAATTTATTGCTTAAAAAAATTGTTCAGCCTCCCTTCTTTTACTGAAAAAAATATATGTTAACAAGTTTGCCACTTGTTGTTAAACATTATTTAAAGAAAGAACACCGCGATAAAGATTATTTTAAAATCCTTTGATGGATGATCTGTCGTCTGTAAAAAAAAAAAATCAGATTAATTATATTAATGTTTCACAGAAATAATAGCGTATTTTTCTATTAAAAATATCTTCAAATCATTGGAATTTTTCTTTTTACGGAAATAAAAAAAAATTATAATTATGATTTAAATGAGGTTCACCTAGTGACGCCTGATCATCATCTTGGTGTCTCTCACCGATGTCCCTTTCCGTACCGTGGGATACCATGGGTTGCCCCAGGGCTCCGGGGACCAAGGACCGTTAAGGAAGCCATAGTGGCAATTGTTAAACCACCAGCCTCCACTAATATCAAGGTAAGAAGCACAGTGACCACCAGATCTGTCATTGTCCCTGTCTGGGGTAGAGAACGACATCCCGGACAGATCGTGCTTAGTATAACCAGTATCTAACATACCGTCTCCTGTAAAATCAAACAAAATCAATTACAGAGATAATTGATTTATATATCGTCAATTTAATTGTTGATAATAATACTGAGGTACTTCTAAGATAGACGGCTTTAGGTGCTGGAAAGAGCGATAATATTTGTTTAGTTGAGTCCTAGAATCCACGGTGTCTGTCCTACTGGCACCTGCAGAATTAGAGAAAATATAAAACAGAGATAATAATTATTAAATCATATCACATTAACTTTAATACTGAAGTACGTCTGAGAAACGCGTTGAGTTCTTTTGAATTTGGCTTTTTAAGCTTGTTTTATTTGAATATTTATCCGATCAAATATTTTTTATAATCATATTTTCGTAAACCTTTCGACATTTAAGATTAATGACGCACTGTAAACTTCCTACAGTGTATTCCCTAGTAGTTAAAAATGTGAATTATTGAAAATCAGATGCATGTTCTGTAAACTTTTCTCGTAGTAGTTAAAATGTGAATTATCAAAAATTATCAGGAAACCCAAGCTGAATAACAATGTTGAACAAATGTAATTATTGGATTGTTTGTTAAAAAAATTTAAACATTATTTTCCTTGAACATGTATAATTAGAAATGTTATCTACTTGACAATAACAAATTCAATATCAGCTGAATACGTGCATGGTACCTGCAAATGATATTCTGAAATATTAAAAATGTTTAATTAGCGTGGAATCAAAAACGTATACAGAATATCAGGAAAAAACACATCTTTTTTCAAGAACTTTCTAATCTGTCAATACAGAAAAGTATAATTATGATGATATACGTAATTTGAACCCAATTTTAAGAAATTAACATAATTACACTGACCTAAGGTTCCTGTGGCAGGTCCTGTAAGAAAGAGTTGATATTTTAGTGCTTCGTTGGAGACAGAGAATCCGTCGTACATTTGAAAAAGCGTTGTACCATTCTGGAGTGTGATGGATACATACAGGGATGAGAGGTTTTCTTTTGTTAATTGATGGATCACGTCATTTCCTGTATTAAGATATATTTGAAATCAATTTTTGAGATATCAATTGAACACGATATCTGAATATCATAGAACATATATTACCTAGTCTTAAATTCAGATCTTTATCATGCTTTAAAATTTTTTTCTTGTCACAAGAATTTTTTTATCTTTAAACTTTGAGGGAATAAAAAGTTCTTATTTGAAAGCGATTTACACTTACCAACCCAGACATTCTGTTCAGTTGAACCAAAACCATTTTTATATTCCGCCCAGTTCCTGTCAAAGATCACGGATCCGTCTACGCGTTTCTGAATGACCTTTGAAAATTACCAAGCGTAACAATTCAATTTATTGCTTCGAACAATCATTTATTATGATAAAAACTCAAAATATTCATAAATTTCATCTTACAATCTTAAAACAACAGCAACAGTGTGTGATATGTTATGTACTTTTAATTTTAGAATTAACTACATACCGTCCATCCCCCGCCCATTGTCGTCATATCGCAGTATACACTTATTGGGGTAATTAAGGTACCGTAGGGGTATATATCATACACCCCTGTACTAGTTTTTCCTTCTTCACAAAGATCTTTACAATCTTTGGGCATGGCAGAGAAAACACAATCTAAAAAAATGCCGAGATCATATTATGCGTATGTACAAGAAGTGAGAGGATATATAATGCCTGCATTATATATAAATGTTAATTGTGGGAAAAATGTTAACAATATGTACAATGCGTATTATGTTAAACTGTTCCTCATTACTAGTATCTAAAAACATTTTTGTTTTCTAATTGATACAAAGCTTTGATTCATGACATGATATAAAGTATTTTAAATCAAATACAATTATTTTCAATACTCTCTTGACTGAGAGAAATGTGAAAGAGGAATGTATTTGTAGATAAGATTATAAATAATTTGGACACTGAAATAGACGTTGAAAAACGTAGTAAAATCATGATATCGTCTTATGCATTATATAATGTATGTGAAATTGAACATTTCTTACATTCGTAGGTCGATACAATGACCATGTTTTCCAACACAGTCTATCGTATCAAACTTTTACAGATTGTAAGGCGGAAAAAAGTGTCAAAGAAAAAAATCGTGTCTTCTCGAGAGGGACATAAAAAATCAAAGAAGCAAACAGAAAAAAAACAAATATACATACCGTTATCCGAGTAGTATCTCCAACCGGCCTCATCAGACAGCTCAGACGTTAGACGTTTCTTGTGGGTACGACATTTCTTCAATTGAGAGTTGAAACCAAAGAAAACGCACTCCCTTTGACACATCGCGGCGCACTCTGTTAATGAATGAGCATTTTGTTCTCTTAAAAGCTCAGAATTTGATTTCTTATCATCAAATGCCAGTTTCGCGGCATATTTCTGAGAAATAATAGTAGCTTTAGATAAACCTAAGAAGCCGACAATTAAAGATATAACCCACTGACTGCTCATTTTGTTTTTACTTTCTAAAGAAAAAAAACTGCGGCGTTCTTGTAAATCTGTGAAATTCTGCCGAATGGTCGTTCAACAGGCAAATATATATGTCGTATCTTAATCAATACCTGAAAAGTGATTGGCTAACTGTTACGTACTCTATATTCTACTGTTGTGTATGTATAAGTTATAGATGCCGAATAATATTGATTCGCTCCGCACCCTCGATTTCCACGCCCCATGAAAACGATATAACCAATAGTACGATGCAATCTATGATGCGAGCAACTTGTCGCCTATATCCGATAACGTAAATTTCTTTGAAAGTGTCAAAATTTAATATAAAAAACATTCACCTGATTCTGCCTCCTGCAGTAATTTATGACGAGGCGTGGAAAGTATTATCTTATATGTGATATGGGATATATCGCCACAACAAGATAGAAAAAAAATTACCGCAGATATGCGACAAGTATCGATTTTATTGAAGATGATATTAATTGTCATAATTGTTTATTCTGAAATATAACAATATATAAAAATATAACAATGAAAAGTGTGCTTTTTTTTTGCACTTTGTTAATGTCTGTTATGCTGATATGTTTTTTTTTTTCATTTGCTAACTTTTAAATATATATTTTCTTGAATGAAATTAAAAAAAACAGCTATCTCGAAATAGAATTTAAAAAAAATTGTTATTTGATGTTATTATTATGATCCTCAGAAATTATTTAGAATATATCAAATAATTTAACTTTGATTCATTAGCGTCCAAATATTTATGTTAGACAATGCATCATCATAATTTTTTGAATTTATTTCTTCGGACAGCAAGAAGATCATCTTAGAAGGATGTAGACAGCACATAGCACATCTTAGAAGGACGTAGACAACACTTAGCACATCTTACAAGGACGTAGGCAGCACTTAGCACATCTTAGAGGGACGTGCACTTGTAAAATACAATGATTAGAAATTTCTTAAAGAATTTGCTTTGGCGTGTTAAAAAACTTTTTAAAAAATGGAAAGTTCGTACGATAAATGTTCAAAATATAGGGTTCATGAAACTGTTTTTATTGAAATGAAACCCAAAATGGTGAATAGCTAAAATTGCAAATAAATATCGCAGTCATTATTTTAACTTGAAATATCAGACGCAATATTCTTTTGGTCTTTAGAAACAATGCTTAAACTGCGCATAGAAACATACATACCTTGTACAGACTGCTAAAAATAATGGGTACATGGAAGCATGATGTCATACTATGAACTTGTATACTACAAAAATATGGAGGATTAAGGTCAAGATCTAGTAAATGAAAGGTGCCTACAGAAATATCAAAATCAAGAAAAATATTCCTTTAATGCTGCTTTAGGACTTTAGCTTGGTCAAATAAGGTGTTTCCGGGCATAATTTGGAGGAAAACAAGATGAAAAATCATATTTCAAACTGGCATTTCTAATGAAAATTTAAGGAAATCAGTCATAAATACGGTTTATTTTCCATATCAACCAAAGAATATGTATGCAGATTGCCTTTAATTTTTCAAAAAACAGTAATTTGTATGTTCTTGTCCTCTTCTTTAAAATAATATCAAATGTAATTTAGGTTTCGAGACTACTTTTCATGTGATATCATGTGATTTCAAATTGAATTCAATAAAAATATTTTATTTTTCACATAATTCTATTCGAGCTGTAAAGTACGGGAAAAAGAAAGTTGAAAGTGATTATGACATCATAATGAATCTAGCACCAAAAAGTTAGTCTGAAGACATTTACTAGATCTTGACCTTAAGTATTCCCCTCCAACGTTCACTCCCGCCGTGTGCTACATGTCATGATCAAGTGAAGCAAAAAAAAAAGTAGACGATTCAGTGTGAGAAAATGGCCTAACATTTGTATAGAAATATCAGATAATATTATACTTAATCATGGATCATTATCTGACAAGTACAATGTATCAATCACAAAATATACGAAATCTTCACTTGAAGCGAATTATTGATTTAATTGATTAAGCTATATATTTCCACTGGCTAGCCTCGTTTTAGTAGCTGCAAAGAACACGTCTTTTAGGAGTGAATTTTAAAGCCTTCACTAAATAAGCCGGGTGTAATATTAAGGACTTCAGTAAACAAGTCGGGTGTAATGATAAGGCCGTCACTAAACAAGTCGGGTGTAATGTTAAGGCCGTCACTAAACAAGTCGGGTGTAATGTTAAAGCCGTCACTAAACAGATCGGGTGTAATGTTTAAGCTTTCACTAAACAAGTTTGGTGTAATCTTTAGGACGTCAGTAAACAAGTCGGGTGTAATGTTAAAGTCTTCACTAAACAAATCGGGTGTAATGTTACGGCCGTCACTTAACAAGTCGGGTGTAATGTCAAGGCCGTCACTAAACAAGTCGTGTAATGTTTAAGCTTTCACTAAACAAGTTTGGTGTAATCTTTAGACGTCAGTAAACAAGTCGGGTGTAATGTTAAAGTTTTCACTAAACAAGTCAGGTGTAATGTTCTTTAAAAAGATTATGAAAATAAAGAGTAAACGTTATGATATTGTCTTTATAATTATAGTTCACTAGGTTATCAAATACGTAAGGAAAGAAATCTACACGTGCGTTTTTAAAGCCATTTACAGCATAAACCGGAGGAAATTTACCATGTTTTCAGTAAGTAAAAAAGTCAACAGTGCCAGGTCCAGGTGGATGAAATAAAGTATTAAAAAGAAATATTTTCTGGTTTAGAATATCTGGAAATAAACGTGCTTGTCGATATACTATAGCATGCACGAGCAACTTGATTTGCGGTTTATACATACAGATATGGCACGCCAAATTCACAAAAATGAGCAAATTTTAATAAACAAGGTTTATCGGTTGTAAAACTATATTTACGGACTGTAAACTATAGTTAACAACGTTAATTAGTAAACGCGCGCGATAATCTATGTTTCACAACCGTAAACTATATTTAACACTGAAAACTATCATTTGCGATTGCAAATCATAGATCTTCTATAATACATTTCACGATTTGTAAACTATAGTTTATCAAACCGTTAACTATATAAGGATAAATATAGTTTCACGATTTGTGAAAAGCATGATTAACAACTCTTATAAAACCGTGAAAATGTTTACAACAAAATGTTGTCAGTAACAAAATCTTATTACAAAGATAAACTTAGATTATCAGGTAAACTATAGTTAACAACCGTTAAATATAGTTTTACAGATGAAAACTATTTTCTGGTTAACTATAGTTTACGGTTTGTAAACTATAGTTTACAGTCGATAAACCTAGTTTATCAAATGTGAAACTAGGTTTGTCTCATTTTTGTGAATTTGGAGTGCCATACCTCTGTATAAAATTGCTGTGCAGACTAGATACATGGAGAGGTGAGAATAACAAATCAAAACAGATTCGTGTAAGGTAGATTTATTATCATAACAGTTTTATAAACTTTGTCATTTTTTTTACATGTGCTTGTATTTAATTTCTAGTAAAATTGAAAAAAATTGTTACTAAAAAAACTACAAATCGCACAACCTTAAGAGATCTGGGTGGAAATTTATCTATCCTACTATGTTCAATTATTTTGACGTGAAAAAAAAATGAAATAGCTTACAGGGTCAGGTAAACTGCTATGGTATGTTTTGTCAAATATAACATTGTTTAATGTACAATTAATCATTGTGTTTTATTGGAATTTTTGATAGAAGGCCTCAAGGAAGAATAGTGCTGGCACTAATGGAGCCCCCTCTTAAAGATAGTATTAATATCAATATTAGTCAAAATTGAATTGAAAGTTGTGAATCAGTTTTTATGCTAAACACAAAGATGCACATGCTTTTATCACAAAGTAGCTTCGTGTGTCTAGAATTTCTCTGATTTCTATAGTGTTTTACTTACAGGGAAATATAATATTATTTGCAATTAAATAAAAGGCCGTTAACTTGGATGCGATGTCTAATTTAGTATTCTATTTATAAAGTGTCCGTACATTCTCCAGACAAGTGATACTGTCGTGTGTTTGTATGCAGATTCATTAAATAAGCAATGGAAGGCCCTAATAAATCGATTTATTGCAAGGGCATACCTCGATGTATCTTGTCAAGTTTGTACACATAAACTCAAGAAGCATGAAGATATTTGAAAAGTGCTGTGAACCTCATGAAATCTTGCAAAAAAAAATGATAATAGCTTTATTTAATGTAGTTGTCCAGCAAAATATTCAACCTGCCGTCCAACAAATTAAAATTAATCGAAATAAAAAAGGGATTCTATATAGGTTCGCAGCACTTTTCACAAACAACATATACTGTTGAAAAAGATTACAACTTAAACTAAGATTTTTAACTTGGTTATGCCCTTGTAATATTGGAAATTATTGATGACCTTTAAACTGCAAGTATAATTGCTAAAATCATGTGACATCGACATCACGTGACACGTCTAAATAAAAAATCTAAATGTCCCCAACATGTAGATTTAAACCACGTAACATTTTTTATATCAGTGATGTCCTGTTTTAAGCAATTTTTTCCCATTATAATAAATTGTGAATTTTTTTCATTATTTTAAAAACTCGATTTTTTTATTATTTCAATTTGTAACCTTGACTGTGCTGTGTTTTTGATCCTTCTGATAAAAAAACTCAAAGAAACTGTCGAATAAAAATTATATCAATTACAATGATTAAAGTGAACAACAATCAGAAATTTAAAAAAAATAAATAAATTCTATTTGCTGATTAGTTTTCATTATATCCACTCAAATCAAACAATTACAGTCAAACAAGGTTAAAATGCTTTGTCAGCTGGTAAAAGGGATACATTTTGTGGTTCTCTAATATCCTTTTCATATCCGGATTATTATAACACAGTTTGCATAATGTCATCTACTGTATTTGTATAATTTCCTCTAAAGGGATCAAACAAATATCAATGTTTAGAATTGTGTGTTAAACCAAGTGTTGAGTTTGAAAATGAATTGTTTACGTCACTCGTAATTTAGA